TCTTCAGAAGAAGAAATCTCCACAGCCAGTGCTGCGAGATCTAACTGCCTACAGACAAGCAGTCTTGTGGCCAAAATGGCCTGCCTGCAGAACAAAAACATGAGTGGCAGAGAGGCGCCTTATCTGCAGAAGCCAGGCAGTCAACAGACGGGGCAAGAAACTGCATCCCTCAGACTCCTCAGACTTTTTGCTTCGCTGCTTTACAGAGCCACAGAAGTCTCAGATTCAAAACCTTTTGCTTGGCTGCTTCACAGAGCTACCGAAGTCTCAGACTCAGAGCCCTCTACGTCTTCCCACTCAGAGTCCGCCTCGCAGACAGAAGAACGCTCAGAAGTGGGGGTCTGGGCCTCAGAGTGGCCCAGCTCAGAGATGTCTTCTGCAGACATCACATGGACCCGAGAGGCCCAAGGCAGCCACAGAAGAGACCCGATCGTGATCTCTCGCTGCTTGCAGAGCCACCCAGCAAGCGTCCAGCGGTCAGCAGAGCCTCCGTCAGCCAGATCGGTGAATTGCTCACCTAAGGAGTTGCCAGTTATGAGGGGGGGGGGTGAACCCATGAAACGGTTCGAGGTTGCGCTGTCGCGAAATAGGTCGAAAAACGGGATTCCTGAAATTCGCGAAAAAAAGCTGCACATGGTGCTTTCCCAACCCAACCGTTTGCTAGATGACTGCTTTGACTCCCGGCAGTCATTGCCAAGAATGGTTGCCAAACGCCACGCAATGCCTTCAGCTTTTTCCTGTATGTTGAAAAGCCACAAAGCACAGCGTTTCAAATCTTAAAAATGGTTATTGTTCCAAAAACAATCAGCGCACTATATGACATTACCACATCCGGAATATTGGGTAAAATTTATCTGTTTGACCTGTATGTTTAGCCCCTGCCAAAACTTATAAGGCCAAAATACAGAGTATGGAAGATATATGTCTGCTATTGTTTGCTCTCACGCAGCGGACACCTTCTTTTTTTCACACTGCAGCGGAAACATCCATCCATGCTTCATGCTACTAGCATTCGCTAGCTATCGCATTAGGCCACGAAGCCCGTGCCTTGAGGCATGCCTTCACGGCAATTTTGGCAGTCGCTCAGCTCACGCGGGACTACTTTCTGAATTTGGATTCCATGACAAGTGACTTCGGCAAGCGCAAGCGTCGGAACTCACGGTGCCTCAGTCTTGAGGCACGCAGCCGTTTCTTCAGCGAGAGGAGTTTTGCTTGCAGCCGACGCCTCGACAGCCTCGACAGCTTCGACAGCTTGATGAGCACACACACACAAGGACATAACTTAACACGCAAGTCTTTGGTGTCCGTAGTGTCCTCTAAACTCGGCGGCCTCGCCCACTCCAGGACTTGCTTCTCGGGACAAGTCAGCCAAGTCGGAGAAGCCAGTTTCACCCAGCACCTGGCGCTCAAGACTCATGTTCCAGGTGAAAGACAGCCTACGCATTGCACATGGGATGCCAAAATGAGACAAACATCCAACACAGTCCTCCAGTCGTGAATCCATGCAAAGGTCCCTTTTGGCAACCACAGCCACAAAGCCATGATCGTCTAGAGGGCAAAGGCGGGGCCGCGGGGAATGGGAGAGAGGCGGCAATTTGCAAGTGCAGGCTTCGAGCTGCGGCAAGATCTGAACATGACATATGTATGGCATATATGTCAACACGCAATGACGACGGAGCAAGCCATTGCATCGCAAAAATCCAAGTGGCACAGCCTCACGCACGCATGTTGTCCCAGCCAACCAGTTCAAACAGTGAGAGCTCACGGGGAGCATCAGTGCACCTGGTTCACACTGCCTGGTCTACGTTGCCTATTCACGAAACCTCGAAAGGCCCTGAAGCAAACCCAGAAGCCAAAACACCAGGACTTGGGCGAAACCACGTGCGCTCGTTGAAAGGAAAAGGCACTTTGCTCTCCAAATTTGAGAGAGCTGCAAACTGAGAACTCGCAAAGGAAAAGCTGGCACTGCTTGCTGTAGCCTGTCGCCGAAGTTCCGCCGAAGCGTTGACTCCATAGCTGTCGGCCGCAGCTGTGGACCGCTGCTAACAGGGCCACGCTACAACAAAGCTATGACCAACGATTCACATCATTGCCCGGGCAAAGGGACGATGTCCAGGCTCTTCTCGAGAAACTGCAACATCTTCCTGGAGTTCTGGTCCTTGCCCATGTCACGTGTCCAGGGCCGCAGGAATTCGATTCCCTTTCTTGCAGCTTCCTCGCTGGTCAGGATCAACTTGACGGCGATATGTCTGTCCTCCATGGACGTGAGTTGGAACAGGTGCCCCGACGGAATCAGGCAAGCCTTTCCAGGCACCAGGAATGTGGTCCAGCCTGACTCTGTGTTGTACATGGCCTTCCATTCCTTGTTGGTCATATCCTCCAAGGCTGCGTAGATAGAGTCTGCCTCGTCGCTGATCTCCTCGGGTGCTTTGACCCCTGTGATTGCCAGAGTGCCTTCCAAGACGAAGTACAAGCAAGGCAGCCCATACTCGGAGTTGGAGTAAAACTTCCAGCTTGCCGGAGGGGCATGCAGGAACATGGGGGCTAGGAGGTCGCGAAGCGCCGGGGATTCGGGCGTCTGCAAGCCCAGATTCTTTATCTCTGGAAGCAGCCCTGCCATGATGCTCATTACCTTCTGAGCAACGCTGCCCTTGGTGATCATATAGTGACTCATGATCTCATCGTCCTTGCTTTTGGAGGCCTGGGCCTGGACCCACTTCTTCTGACTGTCGTAGTAGTCCAACGCCACGATACTGTTTTTTGCTGCCGTGCCTCGAGCCTCCGGTATCACCACCGCTGCGCTCGGCAGATCCTTCTTGCAAAGAATGTCTTCCTTCACATTCCACAAGCAATTCTCGTCAGTCATGTTATCCGCGACAAAAAGCTCTGTCATCTCCTGACCAATGCCATCTCCCATCTTGAGGCTGGTGTGGGAAATCCAACCCTTGCTGCTGTCAGGGGCACTACTTTGGGCCGCGGATGCACTGCTGGCTTGAGCACAGGACTTGCTCTGGAACTTCGGTGCCGCTTTGCCCTTAGCAAGCTTCTTGGCATTCTTTTTGGCTTCCTTCTGGGCAGCGTCCGTGGCTTTCTTGATTTTGGCCACGAACTTCCGCAAGTCAGTCACCTTGTTCTTCATCTCCTTGACGTCCTCATTGTCGCTGAGCCACGCCCTCACCCAACCTGGCATCTCTGCGGTCTTCTGGGCCAGGTCCGCAGCTCCGAGCACATCTTCTCCTTTGCCTAGGTCCGCTTCCCAGAGCCTCAGATTTGATGTCTGCGGGAGTGCTTGTAGGGCATGAGTGTGCTTCACTGAACAAAATATACAATCTGTGGTCTGCGATTGTTACAAGATCCAATGTTTTCTGGCTTCTATGTGCTGCCCAGCCACGCCTTTTGCTGGGCAATGAGCTCTCGAACCTTGACGACGCTTGTCCTAGCCAGTGCCACCTGCTGCTTCGCGTCGTTCTTGGCCTCGTCGGTGGTATTTTCCATCATTTGTCGGAGCTCTGTCTGCATGAGCTCCACCTGTTCGTTGGCACGGTCGTGACAGTTGCTGATCGTTCGGACTGATCTCTCCGACACGTTCTTGAAAACAACGTGTTCCAAGGCATAGGTCTTGACCTGGCTTTTCTTCTCCTCGGCTCGCTGCTTTCGTTCTTCTTTCTCCTTCTCAAGCTTCTCTTCCAGCTCTTGCAGCCAAATCCTTTCCTGCTCTGCTTCGGCGGCCCTGGCCTTCTCGATGTCCCCGGCTATGTTTAGCAATGGCTCCATGTCCATGTCGTTGTCTTGTGAATGCAAGTTCTTCGTGTGCTGCAGGTTCGCCTTCCAGGAGGCCTTGCGCAGCTTGGCCACGGCCTCTTGCTCAAAGCCCTCCACGTCGGCACCATCACTCAGATCAGCACGCTGCTTCAAGTTGATGCCGACCTGGTGCTCTTGGCCCTTTCTGGCCTCCAGGCCTTTGAAAGACGCCAGCAGGTCCTGGCCACGACGTCTCTTCACGATGGCGTCGGGCTTCTGCAGCTCCAGCTTCCACTGGTCTTTGGCCTCCTCCTCGCTTTTGTAACGACCCAAAGTCATCTGCCTGGCTGCCCAGACCTCGAAGGTCTCGAACGCGTCCACCTCGTCTTGTCCTTCTTTCTGCACCCGGGACTCTTCCACAGAGCCCACGGCTCCTTCGCCGAAGGTCCTCTTTTTGGAACGTTCGCTCGCTTGGCGCTTGGCTTTCTCCGTTCGATACCACTGCTTCTTCTCCTCAGCATCGAGTTTTGCCACTCGTCCCTTCTCCGCCTCTGCTGCGAGCCTCAGGCGCTTGTTCTCCTCCGTCTCCATCTCTGGCTTCAGCGGTTTTTTGCAGCGGCGATTTATGGACTTGTCGGTGGCGTTGCAGTGCAGGCAGATCCTTTTCATGGCATTTCTGCCTGTCGCCACAGACTCGACCATGCTGCACTCATCTCCGCACTTCTGGCAGTTCATCTTGGAGGCAGTTGCAGGCTCGGATGTCGCCCAGCGCTGCGCGAGGAAGCCTTTCCAGGAAGTGGCAAGCCCAAGGGCGGCCACGCCCGCAAAGTGTCAAGGGAAGTGGCAAGCCCAAGGGTGGCCACGCCCGCAAAGTGTGAAGGGAAGTGGCAAGCCCAAGGGCGGCCACACAGGGAAACCTCAAAGGGATGCAGGGAGGAGGAATCCGGCCACAAGCACCGCAGCGCTACACGGGAGTTCGTGTCGCGCCGCCTTATTGCCTCGAGCCGAAATATTACACACACAGAACAATCCGCAAAGTCCTCGATCCTCGCAGTCGCATGGACACAACACAAGACTCTGGAAGGTCACGTGGTCTTTGTCTAAAGCATAGCAGTGCAAGCACTCAGTGCGCTGTCGTGTGAATTGGCAGATTCTGCGCATTCATTACGAATTATACTTGTCTTGCATAGCCTATTCTACGAATCTAACAGGAAGCTAAGAATCGATGAAACTGTAGTAGTCGTCGGTTCCAGACTGTATTAGTCCAACTCGATGACGTTGTCCGTGTTCGGGGTCAGGGGGCCACGGAAAGCAAGTGTTTCCTCGTGCTCGGCTGGCCCGGCCTTTCTGCAACGCTTCTTGGGTCTTGTCGGTGACCCGAGGAGGGTTCCGGGGGCAAAGGTCTGCTCATGCATGCCCTGAAGCTCTATCTCCACCTGTCTCTTGCGGCTCAGCCGTTGTGGTGGCTCTGCAGACATCGCCCCGCTCACCACTGCACGCATCAGCATGGGTTGCAGCATTGCAGCCAACTGCAGTGTGCAATATGCGTTGCCTGCGGCTTGTCGGCTGGCCGTGAGGGTGCTGAAGTAATCGTGATATGTGGCACGGTGGCCCTGGAAAACAAACCGCTCCTCGTCTGTCAAATACCGGTGGAGGAACTGCTGCTGCCAGTTCAGATGCATGTCGTCTGTGGTGAACATAAAGATCGCTGGCCCTGAGGTTCTCAAGCTGGGAATGGCATCGTAGGTCACCCGACCCATGAACTCTTTGTCCGGATCCCTGTCCAGCTCCAGACAGGCGACGCAGCCAGCATGTCCTCGGAGCAGGTCCTTCTTGACCATCTCCTCGTACCTCTTCAAATTCTGCCGCCGCTTCTCGGTCATGCTGCTGGGATCAGTATTGGGCTCTCCCTCGCAGAGCATCTCGAAGAGGCAAATCGGGTGAGGCATGTCAAGCATCCCCAGAGGCCTGGGCACTGTCCCAGCCACTGGGAGGCAGTCCCGTCGCAGCCCTCGCAAGTACAGGCGTTCCCGTCTCATTGGCAGCAGTGTGTGGCAATCATGCACACTCACGTCCAAGGCAAAATGTGGCAGCGCCACTTCTAGCTCCTGTACGAGCTGCCGAAAGAAAGTTGTTCTCAACAGGTTGGGTGAATTTTCGACCAGGAACAGCACCAAACAACCCCGACCGGCCATCTCCAAGATCCACGTTATCACAGCGCCATACACTTCTGATCTTTCGTCCATGTCCCCTTGCCTCAGGCCCGTTCCTGCCCAAGGTTGACAAGGTGGCCCGCTCACAAGTATTTCCGAGTCCGGAAGTTCTTTTGGGTTGACTCGCAGGACATCCCCATCAGCTTTCCCGATGTTGACGCCCAGCACCTTCGCGTTCTTGTCAGCCAGTCGTGTGTAGAACGCTTGCAAGGCCGGATCTGTGTCGTAGGCCCCTGAGCCATCGTACGGGCTTCTGCTCTGCTGTGCCCACTCGCGAAAACCGCCCACACCCACACACGGCTCCAGAGTTCGCAACGGCCGACCCAGGTATCGTAGCACGTGGCCCCAGCGCCTAAGCACCAGAGACACAAAGCCCTCGGCTTTGCTGTTACTCATTCTGGGTGGTCTCGAACTGGATCCCGCGAAAGTCAACACACGGCAGGCGGAGGGTCACCGCGGCCGGGCTGTTGCAGGCAGGCAAGCGGCACGCCGCGGAAAGTTAGGCAAACGCTGCTGCTTGCTAGCGTGGCCTTCGTTTTCGGGCAAGCGATTCGTCGCGGCCCCGGAAAGCACGGACTGAAATCTTGAGCCCAAAAAATAACGCCATACATGTTGCTGCAATGCCTGACAAACATCACTGCCCCATGTCGTGATGCACATGCCCCCTCGTGAATGTGACCCTGTCTTCTTCTGCTACTCTTTGTTTGTTTTCTGCCTTTTGCTAGCTCAAGAGTGTCTCTCCGCACTCCGGGACTGAAAATTTGACGATCTACCAGAATCGCCTCCGGCCAGGGCGGGCGGCCGCACACCCTGGTGTGCGGCCGCCCGCCCCCTGCATGTATTCTCCTGCTTGTGGGGGTGTGCGGCCGCCCGCCCCCCCCCCCCCCCCCGGGCTGCCCCGGCTGCCCCCTGTGGTGCGCACACGAAAAACACCAGAAGGACACAACACAAACGAAAACACACACACAACAACAAAGCACGGCGGATTTCGGCATGTCTGGCGGCACACGGGCGGCACACGGGCGGCACACGGGCGGCACACGGGCGGCACACGGGCGGCACACGGGCGGCACACGGGCGGCACACTGGCGGCACACTGGCGGCACACTGGCGGCACACTGGCGGCACACTGGCGGCACACTGGCGGCACACGGGCGGCACACGGGCGGCACACTGTCGGGGCTCGGTGTATGCAAAAACTGTCTCCATACCAAGAAATCACGTTTTTAGCATGTCACTGTTGAAACACACGCCTGGGTGACACAAGTACATTGAGTCTGCGCAGTGCATACACGCTCACTCCTTCTTTTGTCCGCGGAAGTTGCCAAAGATGCGTGCAATCTGGTTGGTCGTGGCACTTCACACCGTCTTCGCATTATTGGGAAGATCTGGTCTTTCTTGTGAGACCTCGTGCCCTTCAGCGGCGTCGGCGGTCTCCGGAGCGCCCTCGCGAGCGGCTGCGGCTCTTCTTCCGAGCCTCCTGGATCAAGGTGAATGCCTTGTCCATGAAAGATGCCGCCAGCTGCTTGGAAGACATCGACTTCTCTGGGGCCTCGGACTTTCCCCGGTGTCCCCGAGCCGACTTGCTCGAGCGAGGCCTGGAGGAGCTTCGGGAGTCCAAGCGGCGTCGGCGGCGGCTTCCAGCAACTGATTGCAGGCGCAGGTTGCTGGGCTGGCTGCTGCGCTTCCGATGAGCGAGTCGGCCCAGGACACAGTTGAGCGTTGACATGCTGCCGTGGACCGAGTGGGCCTCTGACAATTCCATGTGTGCTTCCACTCGCACCGCTCGCGCTGAACCGAAGACATTGGACGCGGCTGCGTTCTGCACTCCCGATTCCTTCGTGGACGTGGCGAACCAATGTTTGGTGTGGCAGTGTCTGCCAGTGGGTCTGCATGTGGAGCTTCCTGCTCTGGAAGCTGCAGTAACAGATGCCCCGCTTCCACTTCCCTTCTTCGTGGACGACGAGGACATGTTGCAGGATCTGCTGAATGCGGAGCCCTCTTCATCCTCCAGGCAGAGGAATACAGACGAGGATGCCATTGTGCCTCGGGCTGAGGCGCAGGTGTCGGTGTCCTGCGCAAAGCCATTGAACAGAGATGAAAAGGCTCTTCTGGCAGCTTTGCTGGAGCAAGGGGCCGTGGGAGACCACGGCTGTGATGCATTGTCGCTGCACACATACAATGCCCAGGCTGCAGGGGCCCTGCGTGAAGCCGGTTACGTGAGCACGTGGGAGGGTGATTTTGGGGAACTGGTGCTTGCGGTGACTGAGACGGGGCGTGTCTCGCCACAATTGGATCTGAGTAGCCCCTTGCGTTTGCGAGACATGCCCAGCGAAGGTCACTCTGGGTTCCGAACAGGCCAGTGCAAGCTGGAATGGCTGCGACTGCTGCTGCAACACCAGTGGCAGTATGACGAGCAGTGTCCAGAGTGGCATGACAAAGACGCAGCTCTGCTGCTGCCCCAGAATGCCTTGAGCCGGCCAGAGGCATATCTAAAATGCATGCTGTGCCTCAGTGTGGTCTGGAACAAGCCAGGAGCACCTGCAAGGATTCTACATCAGGCCCCCGAGCTTTACTACAAGTACTTGCTGCACGAGCCCGACCTCAGTTTTTTGCAAGAGTGGGGCAAAGCAGACATCATGGGCTGTAGCACAAATCGCCGACAGGGCCGGCAGCCGAAGAAGCGTGCAAAGGCAGGTGTCGGGGCCCTGACAGCTGCGGCTGCCTTGGCAGATAAGGAAGACTCGGACAGTGATGATGCCGGCCCGTTGCGAGGCCGCAGAGGGCTTCGGGAGGAGGCAGCGCTGCCTCTCCCGGACCGGCTGGTGCCCCCGCCGGTGCGTAGCCAGGTGCCTGGCGTGGACGTCACAATCTACTTTGACAACTATACGCACTCCAGTGGCAATCTTCGTGCGTTTGTGGAGTGCAAGCGGCATAAGAAGTGCCGCTTGTACGTGTTCGTGAATAAGCACGAAAGTAGATCGCATGCTGTCGCGTATTTGTTGGCGTGGCACCAGCTTGGAAGTCGTTTCGCTTCCGCTGCAACTCACATCGCTGAGAAGCCAAGCGGTGTTGAGGTCCACGCGCATCACTGGGCGCAGGTGCACGGAACACCCGTGTAACAGAAGAAAGAAAGTGGTGGAAAAATGGGTGTGTGTGCTTTGGGGCTTTTTTAGGGCGTTAGGGGAAAAAAGTTGGGTGTTTGCGGGACTGGGATTTTCGGGTTTAGACCCCCAAAGAGTAGGCTTTCCCTGAAGTACCCACGGACATGTTGTTTGTGCAAGAGTGTTTTGCTGTGACGGCGCATGTTGTTTTTGTGATTGGCCGCAGCTCCGCAACATTTCGGCCCGTGCTGTGCTTGCCTCCGTGCGTCGCCCGGGACGCGGCTTGCCGCCTTCCCACGACAACCAGCATAGCGGCCGCGGAACTACCCGCTTGCCCCGGCTGGTCCTCGCCTGCCGCGCTCGCCCTTGTGCAGCGCTTGCCGCGAGAAATCGCCTTCCGAGATCCGAGATGCCCGCGCCCAAGGCCGTGCCAGCACCGGCAACCCCGCCGGGAACCCAGCTGCTGGCCGAGGATGCGACCGGGGCAGCACCAGCAACCCCGCGGCCAGAGGCGCCGCAGGTGCCAGAGACAGAGCTGCTGGCCGAGCTGGCAAACGCAGCGGCTCCGGCCGAAAAGACAGAGGCTCCTACTGCGGATGTGGCTCCTGAGTCTTCGGAGCAGATTGAGCCAGCGCCCACGACACCGGCACTAAGTGAGCCTCGAGAGGGTGAGACGGAGAAAAAGGAAGCCGCTGTCCCGGAGAACAAGGGCGGGGACGGAGAGCGCAGCCCAAGCAAAAGTCCCTGCACGCGGAGGGCAGCCGAGGTGCTTCCCGAGGAATCATCCTCCAGCCCCGAAATGGAGCTCGTCGTCACAGAAGACGCGGCCCAGGCCATGGCAGCCGAGGAGAGGGCGCGAAATCTCAAGAAGACGCTGGCCGAGAAGAAAAAGGAGGCAGAGCACCGGGGCGAAGACGGCCAGGACGAGACCGACACCAAGGACGACCAGGCCCAGGGCTCCGAAGGTCACAAGCAGCGGCCTGCCCACCCTGCGGTTCCACCAAAGGGGCCGCCGCCGAAGCCAAGGGCGCAGAACAACACGAACACGGGGCAGGACCCGAAGGAGTCCCAGGACTTTGTGGAATGCAAGTTCTGCTGGAAAAAGGTGTCGCGGTGGGGCTTGGAAAACCACCAAGCTTCCAGCAACCATTGCAAATGGTACCAGGACCGTGCCGGGGCCAAGCCGGAGCCGCAGCGGCGCAGCCAGTACACGTGCGACGTCTGCGAGAAGGATTTAGGCGACGAGCGGGCGCTGCATCAGCACAAGAAGAGCGTGCACGGCATCTGAAATTTGTCCTCTGGTCTCGGGTCCACGACAGAGAAGAACAAATGATCCCGGCAATCACGGACCGAGAGCTCCCCCTGGTCGGCAGAGAAGGCTCGGGCGATGTCTGCTGTGCTAAGCGCGCAGAGCTGTGGGTGAGGGCCACGGCCAGGGTCACATGCTCGCAGCATGGCTGCAGGCATGCTGCAGATGCTGCCTGGGCGCAGATGCGCCTTCAAGAACCCTACAATCTGCTTGCTGTCGTGGGAGGCTGCTTGCGGAGGAGGGTGTAAAGCCTTCAGCTCGGCAGCCCGGCCGCGGGCTGCCTGCTGCATCTTCTCAACATCTCTGAAGTGGTCATCCACCGCGTACCCATACACGCGAGCATATCTCTCGGACCGGCCCATGAGATTGACCGTTGTCGGCAGGCACTTGTGGGCCAGAACTCTCTGGAAAATGTCCCGGGACCTCCAGTTTTGACAGACCCATTGCAGCAGCGAGGGATTCTCCAGCATAGCCAGCACCTGATGTCTGCGCTTCCGCGCACAAACCATGGCCGGCCCGGCCCATCTGAAGCCACGCTGGGCCGCAAGCTTAACCTGCGCGTGCTCCCCCTCGATTCGTCGCTCGACCAGTGGCACCAGGCTCAATTCCTGGATGGCCACAAAAGCATCGGGGTACTTGTGGAGTGACCGCTCGGGGTCCTTCGCAAAAGCACGTAGCTGTTGCCCCACTGGGCTTCTTCCCGTCAACAACTCCAATGTGGTGGGGTGCAGTTCTGCCCGGCCAGCCTCTTCGAACTCTTGCAGACATTCCCGCACACACTTCTTGGCTCTCTGCAAGGAAGAGCCACAGTACTCACCAAAAGCACCCGCGAGCTTGTAAGGCAAGGCCTCCAAATAAGCAAGCTTGTCGTGAAGGGCGTGGGCGAGTGCCCGTTTAACCACCACATCCATGTCTGCAATTGCCGCCGCATCTTCCGGCCTTGCATTCAGCAACGCTCTGTGGTACTCACTGCTGCCGGCGAGGTCCAGAGAACGCGTCATGGCTTCACGGTGGCCCAAAGCAAAGGATGGCAACCGCTTGCCTTTCCAAGGGCAGGTGACCGCACCAGTTGCTCCAAGCATCTGGTGTCTACGCTTCCACCTGCTCCCGGTGCCGACGAGCACGGCCTCGTGGCAGTAGCAGCCTTCCATCCATCGTGTTTCCTTGCCCACTGCCTCTGTCAGGCCACGCAACCATTCAAGCATGAGTCCGTGCCACGGGCTCTGCAGAGCTTGGGACACCAAAAGCGCCAAGCCGGAATCTGTGGCCTCAAGCATGTCCGCCTTGAAATACTGCTGCAGCACCGGTCTCAGAGGGGACCACTGAGCCAAAACTGTCTCCAAGGTCTCCCAGCGCCAGTCCAGATGCTTGGCATTGAAGGCACACAACGTCTGGATGTCAAGGGCCGATGCACCTGCTGCGCGGAGCATTTGGTTGGCCACCACCTCTTGGTAGCTCTTTTCTCCGCACAGCTTGCAAATTGCCCGCAACTGTTTCTGGAACTTTGGCCAGTGCCTCTGTCCGGTCACAGCTGCTTCCAGGGCATTGTAGACTACGTGCATCAGGCCAGAAACGTCCAGGGACGAGTGAAAGAAGGGCCGCGAGGCCTCACCCCCGCGACCCACAACGTCTGCGGGCAAGTCATGTCCTTCCATGTCCAGGCGCAGCGGCTTCCCGAGCACAGCAAGGCCATCTCTTAGGGGATACTTGGAGATGGCCCGCTCCGTGCCTTGGTCAGACACCCAGCCCCGGACTTCCTGCCGGTAGTGCTGCAACTTGTCCACGCCGTGTTCCATCAGGATGGAATTCAACAGGCAGGCCACTTTCATGGGCACCTTCGTCTGGCCTCGTGCCAGTGTCTGGCAGGGCAAGGCACGCACGCAATGATCGAAGCCCTTGAAGGGATTAAACTGCCCTTCCTCAGCATCCGGCACCCAGCTGCTGGGGCGCGACGCAATCTCCTCCAGGATGCACAGGTAGTCGTGCCCTCCCTGCGGCGATGCATCTGCCGACAGGTACCTGGCACGCCGCACACTGCTACACCCTGGCTCGTTGACGAACCGCTGCGACAGACTATGCAGCATGTCAAGTCGCAGCTGGAATCGACGCAGGGTGGCTTTGTGCGGCGTTGCTACCTTTGCTTCGGGTATGTCATCCATCTCCGCGAACAGAATTCTGCGAGACAACTGGAGGATCTCATCCATGTCCTCCGTGCTGGACAGCCTGTACCCCAGCTGAGCAAGCAGGATCTCTTGCAGGCTGGTTCAACTTGCTCTACGGGCGCAGGTGGCTCAGGGCCAGGCTCGGCTGACTCAGCCGGCTCAGCACCGCCTGGGCCCCCCACAGCGGCAAGGGCGGGAACCTGGCCTGCGCCAGGACCAAGCCCGGCCGCCTGGGGGGCAACAGGCTCCACGTGCAGAGAACGGCTCAGGGAAGCAGGACTGATGACATGCCTCACAATTTCTTTGCGAAAGACCGTGGTTAAATAGGCCCTCGGCATTCGCACCAGGCGCCCCTGCTTCCGAAGCTGGGCTGTGAACAGTGTCTGGTCACTGTCTCCCACAGCACGCAACTCGGCTTCGCGGAACAACGTTTGGCCGAGCAGGCTCAGTGTGCAAAAGGGCTGAATTTGATTTCCTTTGAAGTGTTGCACCAGCAGAGTCAACTGCTCATTGAACGTGCACGCAGACAAAACATTCCACTGCACATACTCCGTTTTGGTCTGCCGCGGAGTCTTACTCGACTGTGCATCACTGAAATCGTGCTGCAGCCAGGAATCTAGCCAAGCACCACTTCGGCAAGCTTCCTCGGAAAGCAACTCGCAACCATCTGTCACAATGGCCCCATGTATTCGCACGTCTCTGTGCGATCTGCCAACACGAGTGGTGCTGAACAAGTACAGCACGAACCCCGGCATTTTGAGCCAAACGACTACATCATGCAGGCACGCGACGCTCCCTACAAACTTCGCAAATTCAAAAAAGCATGTTTATACATGTGCATTTCAAGAATCATGCGTCTCAAATTTCGCAAAGCTTGCAGGCAGATACGTTTCCACACAACGTTGTTTCGCGGTTTCACAATAACCCGAATCCTGGGCCCGGACGTGTTTTGCTGTTTTACAATCCGAAAAGCATGCAATCCTGGGTCTGGGCTCAAACCCCCGCCAAACCCCCAAAATGGTTTACCCCCCCCCCTCCTAACTGGCAACTCCTTATGCTCACCACTAGACAGACACCACCACTTGTCGCGTCCAGGCATCGAGAAAACCAGAGATCTCGACTGCAGCTTCTTCGCAGAACCCGAAGCGTCGCTTCAGAGTCAGAACAGCTAGACTCTCTTCAGAGACCACAGCTTCTACGCCAAAAAAAGCAACAGAATCAACCAAGCTTCCAGACTCTAACTGCAGCAGGACTGTCTCAGACACGAGCGAAGCAAGGAGCGACGCAGAATGTTTTTTTAAGCACAAGCCGTGAGCCAAATCAGCCTGCGACTGGCCAAGATCCTTTGGACAGAAGCCAACTAAACTACTCTGCTAGCGGATCAGAGTTCAAGTTCCGCAGGTGATCCTTCTGATCTTCGGACAGACTGTCCCAGATCCCAAGAAAGGGCTCAGGGGCGTTCAAGAGGGCCTCCTCGCTCACGCCCTCCATCTGCAGAGTGGTTGCGTCAGACTCCGGAGACTGTTGAGAGTACCCCAGGTCGTCAGGTTTCTCCTTCAGAGGGGCCTTGGGGGTCTGCGGGGCAGGCTTCTTGTCTGGCGTGCACAGACCAGACGCCTCAGACTCAGGAAGAGGAGACGGGGGAAGCTTCACAGCAGGCTTCTTTGTCGACTTGTTCGCAGAAGGTTTCTTCAGAACTTTGCCCATGGCTCTCTCAGAGTCCCAAAATCTTAAGAACAGTAATTAAGGCCAGCCGAAACGTTTCATGTGCAGACAACAATAAATTTGTCAACCAAATGTTCAATCCAGACATGTGTGCGACAGACATGCAGCTGCACTTGCAACCAGACTGTTTTGGGCACCTTCAGACACCGCGTGCTTGCTTTCTTAAAAAAGCTGAGCTCGACCGCTCCAAAACAGAAACAAAACAAAACAGAAACCCTAGCTAACTAAACCCTAAACAAGTTAAACCCTAAGTCCTGAACCCTGAACCCTGAACCCTAAACCCTAATTAAACCATTAAACCCTAACAGCGGGAGCCAGCAGGGTCTGCTCTTCAGATCTTCAGATCAGAGCGTGGCATCTCAGCAGAGCCTGCCCATATTAATTAGGGTTTAGGGTTAAGGGTTTAGGGTTGAGCCGCATAGGGGGGGGGGGGGGGGGTGAGGGACTGTGTTCGTGTTTATAGATGTGTAATTCTATATACTCATATATGTATATATGTATAGATACATATATATATATATATGTGGCAGGAACCTTTATGTATCATTTGACTTCCTTTTGTTGTTTTACTATAGAGAGCTCTACTAATTATATTTGATGCTATGTTTCTAGCACTATTCGTTCTATTACAACTTCTGCTTGTGTTTTCGTCGTCATGATGACGCCCTTCAAAAACATGTGAGACGAGCCATCACCCTCGCAGGCTTCTGTGATCCCCGCAAGAGATCTTGGTTTAGGCTTCTGAAGGTGATGAAGAGCCACCCCACCACTCGGTGGCAACACTCTCACGAATCAGATCACAGGCTGTTGAGAGTAGCCGCTTAATGTGTGCTGAGCTGGGTCCACTGTGAGAGCGAACCATCAACCCTACAGCTCCCCAAGCTCTCAGCAGGGCTAAGAGACTTTTGCAATGGCCCCATACTCGGTAAGGCCAGGGAAGTGGCCGGCTTCACTTCTCAGAATTTCGGATAGCATCCGCAGGGTGAGGGTTTAGGGTTTAGGGGTTAAGGTTCAGGGTTTAGGGTTAGGGTTTAGGGTTTGGGTTTTAGGGTTTAGGTTTTGGGTTTTAGGGCTTATAGTTTAAAGTTTAGGGTTTAAGATTTAGGGTTTACGGTTTAGAGTTGGGAGATGGGGAAGAATAAGCTTTTGGAACAGGGGCCACGTATCTCAGAGAGGTCCTTCGGAGTGAGGAGTTCTTCAAGAGGGTTTAGGGTTTAGGGCTAGGGTTTAGGGTTTAGGGTTTAGGTTTTAGGGTTTAGGGTTTAAGGCCCCTGCAGAGGGCTGAGAAGATGGCTAAGGCCACAGTCTGGTGGGCTGCTTTCTTAGAGATGCCTCGGGCGAGGTGGTGAAGGCCGCTTCCCATCATTCTGCACTCTGTAAGGGGGACTCTGCTGCACCCTAAACTCTAAACCCTAAACCCTAAACCCTAAACCCTAAACCCTATACTTATTCCTATACCCTAAACTCTAAACCCTGCACCCTAGACCCTAGACCCTAAACGCTTAACCCTAAACTTAAACCCCAAGCCCTAAACCCTAAACCCTGAACCCACACTAAACACTAAACCCGAAACCTGCAGGCCCTCTCAGGCGCCGCCCACTCGGGGCTTGCTCACGTACTCGATGTTGCGTCGGGCCTGGGTTTCGTTGAGGTGCCAACTGTTTAGGTTTTGAGCTTAGGGTTTAGGGTTTAGGGTCTAGGGTATTGGTTTTCGGGCTAGCGGTCTACTTCCTCCTCTCTGCACTCCCTCATCTCTAAACCCTAAACCCTAGTTTCGGGTGGGTCTCTAGACTGGCTCAGGGTTTAGGGTTTAGGGTTTAGGGTTTAGGGTTTAGGGTTTAGGGTTTAGGGTTTAGGGTTTAGGGTTTAGGGTTTAGGGTTTAGGGTTTAGGGTGAAGTCCAATCGAAGCCAAGAATTGCAGAATGGTCGTCTTGGCCCATGGCCATCCCTGGACGTCAGCTTACCCTAAACCCTTAAACCCTCCCCAGATGCCTCATTTCTGACATTAGCAGCACATCGTCCACACGGACGACGTACATGGGAAACCTGGGATCAAGATTCTGGGCCTGCCGCGATCCCTCACAGGGCACCCTAAGCCCCTGATCCTCAACACCTTCAGACGGCAGGGTTTCAAGCGGTCAGGCCCCCCACCCCATATTGAAAGGCATCCCAAAAACAAGGGCCTCTAATGAGTCTAACGCCCTAACCGCATGAGCCCTAAAGTCCCTGAGCAAATAATTAATGCCCAATTGTGTTGATGTCCGTGCGACGATGGTTCTTCCGCTGAAGATGAGACCAACTGTCTCAGGCCAGGCCCCCAAAAGGTGCTCACAAACCCTAAGAACCCCAACGCTGATGGTGGATTCTACGGATTCTTGAAGAGATTGGAGCTCCATGCTTTGCTGGTGCTAATTCTGAGTAAACCCAGGGTTTAAGGTTTAGGGTTCAGGCGTTAGAGTTCAGGGTTTGAAGTTTAGGGTTCAAGGTTTCGGGTTAAGGAGTTAGGGTTTTAGAACAAGCGCCCGACTTCAGGAGTCGGGCAATGAGGTGGCCAGGCTTCGCCTCGGGTCGGTGAGTTGCTGAGGTTTAGGGTTTAGGGTTTAGGGTTTAGGGTTTAGGGTTTAGGGTTTAGGGAAACTGGCAGCAAGAACTGCAAAGTGGTCATGGCTACGTTTCCCCAAGCTGCGGTTGAAAAAACAACCCGGAACTCAAACACTGTGAGTTGTCAGGCATGACTGCAATCTTAAAGCTCTAGACTGCAAGCTGACTGTCAACGTTACCAGATGTTGAGCAACTGGATCGTCTCGAAGCCCACCTCCTTCTGTTGCTGAGATCCAGACGGATCTTTTCCAGGGAGGGAGATTCTCGACTGGCGAGGACACCTGACCCAGAGACGAAGAAGCAGAGAGACGAAGAAGCAGAGAGACGAAAAAGCACGGAGACGAAGAAGCACAGAGACGAAGAAGCAAAGAGACGAAGAAGCAGAGAGACAAAGAAGCAGAGAGACGAAGAGGCAGAGAGACGAAGAAGCAGAGAGACGAAAGAGCTTTTTAAAAGTTGAAACTATTAAAACTACTAAAACTATTAAAACTTAAAAAAGGAAAAGGTCTGGCCTGGAGATTCCCGAACTTTTAAAACTTTTAAAACTATTAAAACTATTAAAACTATTAAAAAGGCTTCTTTTTAATAGTTTTAATAGTTTGGGAGGCTTTTTAAAAGTTGAAACTATTAAAACAATTAAAACTATTAAAACTTTAAAAAAGAAAAAGGCCTGGCCTGGAGATTCCCGAACTTTTAAAACTTTTAAAACTTTTAAAACTATTAAAACGATTAAAACTATTGAAAGGCTTCTTTTTAATAGTTTTAATAGTTTGGGAGGCTTTTTAAAAGTTCTAACTATTAAAACTATTAAAACTAATAAAACTATTAAAACTATTAAAAGGAAGCCTTTTCAATAGTTTTAATAGTTTTAATAGTTTTAATAGTTTTAATAGTTTTAATAGTTGTAATAGTTTTAATAGTGTTAAAAGTTCAGGAATCTCCTGGCCAAGGCCGTTTCTTTTTAATAGTTTTAATAGTTTGGGAGGCTTTTTAAAAGTTGAAACTATTAAAACTATTAAAACTTTAAAAAGGAAAAGGCCTGGCCTTGAGATTCCCGAACTTTTAAAACTAGTAAAACTAGTAAAACTATTAAAGCTATTAAAACTATTAAAACTAATAAAACTACTAAAAAGGCTTCTTTTTAATAGTTTTAATAGTTTAGGAGGCTTTTTAAAAGTTCAAACTATTAAAACTATTAAAACTATTAAAAGGAAGCCTTTTAATAGTTTTAATAGTTTTAATAGTTGTAATAGTTTTAAAAGTTCTAATGGTTTTAAAAGTTCAGGAATCTCCTGGCCAAGGCCGTTTCTTTTTAATAGTTTTAATAGTTTGGGAGGCTTTTGAAAAGTTGAAACTATTAAAACTATTAAAACTTTGAAAAGGAAAAGGCCTGGCCTGGAGAACTTTTAAACCTTTTAAAGCTTTTAAAACTATTAAACCTAATAAAACTATTAAAACTATTAAAACTATCAAAAAGGCTTCTTTTTAATAGTTTTAATAGTTCGGAAGGCTTTTTAAAAGTTGAAACTATTAAAACTATTAAAAAAGCTTCTTTTAAAAGTTTTAGTAGTTTAGGATGCTTTTTTGAAAGTTCAAAACTATTAAAACTATTAAAACTTTAATACAAAAAGCAGCCATGTCAAATAGTACATAGAGGTTCCTCTTACATATATATATATAAATATGTATATATACACAGAAAAAATAAAGACAGATCATCTAAACCCTCCTTGTAATTGTATATATATATATATTTATTTATTTATATTTCTATTTGTATTTATATTTATACACATATTTATATATGTTGAGAAATTATATAATTATATGAATATACATGTGTGTACATATATATATATATACATACATATATATATATATACGGGCGGTTGTCAAAATTATGATCCCTTTTGGGGTACCCTAAATATTCGGTGCCGTATTATAATAGGGATCCAAAAAGGAACCGTGATTTTGACAACCACCCATACATATATACACACATAACCCTTAACCCTCAACCCTAAAGGTTTAGGGTTTAGGGTCTAGGGTTTAGGGTTTAGATTTTAGGGTTTAGGGCTGAGGGTTTAATTAAGGTTTAACATTACGGTTTTATTAGGGTTTAATCAATTAGGGTTTAGTTAGGGTTGAGGGTTTAATTAGGGTTTAATTAGGGTTTAGGATTTAGGGTTTAGGGTTTAGGGTTTAATTAGGGTTGAAGGTTTAGGGTTTAGCCTTAATTAACCCTCAACCCTCAACCCTAAACCCTCAACCCTCAATCGTAATTAAACCCTAAACCCTAACAAATTAATGTTAAACCCTCAACCCTAATTCAACCCTCAAGCCTCATTAAACCCTAAACCCTCAACCCTAAACCCTCAAC